TGAGTTGTATGTAATTTTTTTTTTTCTTGCATATCAATGAAACTCTTTAACACATAAAAGAAACACTAAATAATACAAAAGCTGTTTCACCGCTCCTCACTTCATGCTTAAAAGATTCTTTAATTGAAATCTGTTAAGCTTTAACTGCGTCTTTTGATATCGGGTGAACCACCGACGACTCATCCAAACAATCTCGATTGTGGCGTTTGCATTTTCTCCCACATGCATGGCTGAAAGCTGTTCCTCTGTGGAGCCCTGACTGTTGGTCTTCTGCACCAACTGGCTGAGCAAGAAGAAAGAAAACATGTAAACAAGTGAATTGTGCAAAGAAGCAAACAAACCAGCTCACTGGCTGCCCGACTAATTCGGCAGAGGGTTATCGGAGACGTTTGTTGCAAACCAGTTTTAATTAACTGCCGCCTTCAGTTAAAATGGGACGAAACGCAAAGGTGAAAACGACTGTTTTCCCCATCAATAGGTAGCGGCATGTAGGTTTTCGAGAGTGACTGCACTTTCTAAATGATTAAAGCAGTTACGGGGGCTTAAATGACACTCAATTTATTCTCCCCATTAAAGCAGGCAGACCGCTCCAGCCCCTGATGTCAGCCTGCCGCGCTGATCCTGCAGTGAAGGGAAACTGTTCCACATGGCTTACTGTGCTGTCAGTGGAGGTGATCAATGAGGGGCTAACTGAGTGAACCTGACCAGCCGGGTTAGGCAGCTTCTGCTGGACTTTTGAAAGAAGCTTAGACGTAAATAAAGCGAAACGCTTTTTGTGACACTTACCCATTTGCTTTTGTTGCTTTTTTTTAAAATCACACTTAAATACAGTCAGAAATCAAAGACTAATAACAAACTTGACCCTGTGTGAAGCGGTTATTATCCCCTAAACCAACTTACTGATTGTCCAGCCCTTGGCAGCAAAAAAGAAATGCTGTCAACCACTGGTAACACTTCTGCAGAATCCCTGAGGAGCTTTGATCCACTCTACTTGACAGAATTGTTTTAATTCAGCCATATTGGAGTTCTGGGGAATAAAATGCCTAGTAAGAATCACACCTCAGCATCGTATCAGATTTGAATTTATACTTTGACTGGATGACTGCAAAACTCTTTTTTTTTTTTTTTTTTTTTCTATTTTCCAGAAGTGTAACTTTGAGTGTGCTTCTTTGGGAATTTTTTCCTAGTGATGTACATCAACCTTTACCAAACACTCAGAGTGAAGTAGCCTCAATCCATGACGGATACCATCACCGTGTTTCATTGTTAAATTCTGTTATTTTATTGACATGTTACACTTGTTTAACGATTACTTTTTAACATAAATCCAGGTTACTTGAATGCTATTTTTTTTAATCGTATAAAGAAATAAGTTGAAAACTGTATTTTGTATTGAATTAATTTGTTTTAGTCTGATAGAAAGTTTCTCAGATGGTCTCAGATATTTTGGTGACAAAAACACCAAAACAGAAGAAATCTGTCATGGGGAAAATACTCTCTCCACACTGTAAATCGTTTGGGAATTGATTAAAAAAAAAAGGTAGGCAGTGTGCTTCCCCAGAGTAAGAGCTGCCAGAGTGAGGAGAAAAATTCTAAAAAGGATTCCCCCCCCCCCCCTTATACATTTCACACAAATCAATTTAAACCTAATCAAGCTTTGTGTAAATTACTGCTGTTTAGGACTGACGCTGTGGCACAGCTGAGGAAACTCAATGACACGTTTTGTTTTGCCATTAACCCTTTTTAATGGTGGATTTCATGAAAATTAAGAACACAGAGTGCACACGGCTTATCACATTCTTGGCGATGCAGGTTCAGTGCACCACAGACTCACGTTTACAGCTGGGAATCTTACCGGAAAGTTTTCCACTCTGCCCTTTCAGGATGAGATTTTGCCGACTGAAACCTGCTCTCACTCGGGCATTTTAGCTGTGAGCCAAAGGTGTGAGAGAACAAGCCTATATTAATGACGAGCAACAGAGTGTTTTAAAGTGACTTATTTTTTTGTGGGTGCTAGCATTCTTCGCACAGGAGTCAAATTCTGCTACTTTTAAAAGTTGCTATAAATTAAATGTCTGTAGAACCTGCTGAGCCGTGTGGTTTGATGGCGTTATCAGCTGCATGTGCAATGCTTTGGGACTTTTCTACATTTTGTCCTCTTACAACTACAAGCTGTGATGTATTTCCTTTGGATTCCACATGGCTAACCAACACAAAGTAATCCAGAATGAAGGGAATGAATGTTAAAAATGTTTTTTTTTTTTTTTTTTTTACAAATCTGAAAGGTTTCAAAAGATCCAGTGCGGCCAGTTGCCTTCAAAAACCATCTGACTAAGAGGAGAAGAATGGAGAAGATATGGAGAAGTTTAAAACAGGGTTAGGCAATAAAATATCAGGTTATGGACATCTTCTGGAGCGTTGTTTAACCCATCATCTGAAACTCAGAAAAAATGTGTCATTATGAAAAACTACCAACACAATGGCTGCCCTTCTGATGGGGCAGACAGGGAGAGGATTCATCAGAAAAAGATTCTTCTGTAAGATGAGATCAGAACTGAACTTTGAAGATATGTGTTGTGGAAAAGTGACACAACGTGTGTACCGTTTACTCCGAGTACAACTTCCTCGCTTCACTTTGAAACGTGGTATTGGCAGTATCATGCTTTGGGGGGTGCTTTTCTATTTTAGGGACTCATTAGAGCAAACTTTCAGACCACAATCAAACTGAAAATTTGTGGCAAAACTTTAAAATGGCTGCTTGACTGTGGTTGAGTTTAGAGTTGATAGTAACAGATGTGATCTAATGGTGGAATCTTAGATCAGAAATAGATTGTCAGAATCACAGGATTATTAATTCATATTATGTTATTGTGGCATTCCTTTGATTCTCTTTTCTGTGTTTATGCTTTAAAAAAAAAAAAAAACATAGTTTTGGTATTTTTTGGTAAAAGATGGTTTATGATGCAATTTTGTGCATTTCAATGTTTGTTGATTTCACCGACTAAAGCTACCCTGTTGTTGTTTTTAAAAATGTAAGCTTTTTGTTTTTAGTGGTTTTTGCCCTTCTCTTCCTGTTGTGTACTGTAAAACGGTTCAGTTTTTGACATGCAAAATGTAATTGTGAAATTATCAACACTTTGCTCTCATAGCCTAAAAATTAGATTCCATTTTTTTGTTTACAACATTACTGTATTTTTACCCCTTCCCCCCCCAGGACCACTTCACATTCGCTGCTAATAGCTTCTCCTACTTCATCTGCATGCCATGTTCCCATTTTGTTGCTGCCACTCCCCCCCTCCACAGTAAAGCTCAGATTTCTCAGATCATATAAACACAGCCTTCAGGTGAAACGGCATAAAGACGAAGCATCCAGTTTCATGGACAAAGCACTCATCGTTCCCACTTTCACTTCAGCCCAAGCCAGGAACTGCAGCATTTCAAAAGGGCCTTGAAAAATGAATCAAAAGAAAATAAGAGCAGAGAGAGAACTAGAGCAGCAAAGTTTTTCATTGCTACTCTTCAGAGCAGATGTATGTTGCTTTGATAAAATAAGCCCCGTTGACTGGAAGTTTGGTCGCATGCCGCATCACTAATCCTGAGCATCCGAGGCTGCAGCCCTGAGCATTGTCTGATTCATGTGTTAAACATTAAAAACATAATTTGGAAATGTCTGATCAAAAAGCAGGTCGTTTTGTTATTATTATTATTATTATTATTATTTCAAGCTAAACGTATATTTATTTCACTCTACGTGCTCCGTGAAAAGCTTACACTGCCTCCAACTATGCCTTCGTTCTGGAAACTCTCAGTAACAGGCCTCTAATGACAGAATGTCATTCAAACCTCCTGTTGAATAAAAACTGGCCTGAGGAAGGAACCCTTTTGCAAAATTTGTGAAAACGGGCGCAAAAGAATCACAAGTTATGCCAAACAAAGAACCAATTAAAAGAAACTATGTGTTTTTCCTGGGGACAAATATGAAACATGTCCAGCAAGAGCAGAATCAAAAGCTTGTTGATGCTTTGAAAAAGCTTGTACTTTGCATCCAACTTGCTAAGCAATGTTTAGCCAATTATTAACGCTGGTATGTTTACATATTTTAGCAAATTTTATTTGATCAACGATAATTTCAAACCAAATGTCTTTCTTTAATTCTTTGAATGTGTTTCTCGTATTTTCATTCCACCCTGAAAAATCTTCAGATTCACCATCGAACTCCCTCAAATTATGCGACTCTCCTGCCCTATACGACCTCAACTCTACACATGTAACACATGACGAAATAAATGCAAAGCCGCCAGGGAAATCACTTTTGGCTTTCGCTGATATGCGGTGGCGCTGCGGACGGATGTATTATCTTCTTTCCTGGGTTAATTTGGTGAGGCCAGAGGAAGAAGAAGCTGTGTCTCTTTTACTGATGGCAGCAGAATCCAACATCATCAACTATAATCTCAACTTCCTGACGACAAGCTGAATCAGTGAGTCTCTGACTCAGCAGGGGAGAATATTTATGGAGACACTTTCTAAGAAACACCTTTACTAACATTTCCTTTATTTATTTATTTATTTTTTTTTACAAACATCAGTAACTATGACTGATAGACTTTGTTTTTGACAGCTTTGTCTACGAGACATCCTTTCCAGTCAGACTGTGGCTTTCTCATGTTAGACCAAATAAAAGAAACCCAAAAACATAACAAAAGCTCAGATTACAGTAATGATAAAAATGATGTAACCTAGTTATGAACATACAGTGAGCAAAAGAAGAAGCAAAAAACAGAAAGCATCTAAATAAATCACATTTGTGCTTGAACTGCCTGCTTGGCTGAATTTGATTCCACATGAAATAAACTTATTTATGACATCAGTTTTTAGTCTAATTATGAAATCTATTTAAACTTCAGTTCCTGTGGGATTGTGTCTTTGTTTTTCTAGGCAGAGCTTGGGAGATAAAAAGTGACGAGGAGGAGCAAGAAAAGACAAGTACGCAGAGGAAGATGTCGAGATGCAACACGGAAATAATACGGACTGCTGTAGTTCGAAAACATACGTCACACAAGAGGATTACAGACTCTTAGTTGTGCTGTTTGTTTTTTACTAACAGTTTTCCATTTTGGCTTCATCTTTGTTTCCTAAATATTCAAATAGTGCATCAGTTATACACGATAAAGTATATATTCAAAGTTTTCTATGTTATGTCACTTTGGATGCAAACAAAGTTAAACACAAAGTAGGATTGTGACAAGTTTACATGTAAGAGGAGGAAGTGGAAGAGTAGGAGAACAGAGTCCGGCCAACAATGATGGAACAACGCACCTCGCAGTTATTCTCTCACTTTTTATTACTGAAAGATAATTTAACACAAAGATCCAGAGATAAAGACATTGGTGACGGATTTTTAAAGCTCCTATATTCCCCCTGTGAGTTGCACTAAGCAGGGCCACTAATGTAAGCCACCTTTGCTCGCACTCTTTATTGATTTGCCTCTCAGCTCTTATACAGATGTCTGTGACACCACGTTCTGCAGGGGTGGTGCGTGTAATGGGCTGACTGGTTGTACCCCACCGCCCCCCCAACCCCTACTCTGGTTACTTTGCACTGAAGTCTCTGAGATCATCCAGTGCCAGACGGAGAAGCGACGGCCACCCAGTGAAAACATCGATCTTTGCTCGACGGAGCTGCCGATCGGGAACTCATACTGAGCTCAGCTTGTGCAGAATCTGCAGCTCTACGCTCATTTATGCAGATGTGCTCAGTGAGGGGCTTTGATGCATGCGATGTAGTTCAGCGCCCTGGAAGCCCTTCCCTCACGGGCTGCAAAAGAAGAGAATAAGAGGTTTGGTCAGTTGTGGCCCAAGCTGAGTTTCCTGTTGCTTATTTTGCATCCACAGAATGGGAATCTGGGGCCTTCTGTTGTTTTGCATAGTGAGAAAATGAAGCTGTGCAACGGTGGTTGATAACTCTAAACTTTAGTTAATAACTAAACAAGGAACATTTCACTGATTTTTTTTTTCTTTTTACTGTACAGTTAAAAAAAATACAAGCGCTTATCCTGAACAAAATTGAACTTCTTTAATCAGCTCTGAAAAGAAACAGTTCAAAAACCACAGTTTCAAATTTATGAGTCACTTATTTTATTTGCAAAACCACAAATAAAAACTCAGGCCACTGAAAGCTCAAACACGTGTTCAGGTAACAGGAGAATCAACGTTTTTCCAGAAGAACTCTGTCAAAATCATCACACTACCTCTGCCAGCTTACAGTCTTCCCAAAGTACAAGCTAGGTCAATGTGGTTCCCATCTGGTCATCAAAAACAATAAAATGCGGGGGGCGGGGGGGGAGTAATTCATGAATCTAAGCCCAGTTTTTCCAACGCTGTGTGGTCCTGATTTTGATGTTGAGTCTGTAGGGGTTAAAATGGGCAAAATGAATAGTCCACAGATATATGGTCACATGCAATAAAAGGAGATACTCTGTATTTCTTCTTTCTATTACATCCAGCACTAACTTCTTCACTAATTTGGGCAACAATATAGGCAGCCTTCACTCCCCCTTGTGCGTCCAGAAGCCTTTTCCTGACCCCTCTACCTGTTCCTGTTCCTTTCTTGGAACACCTCTGATAGATGCTGAACACTGCAGGCTGGGAACACCCCGCAGGACGTGCAGGTTTGAAAATGCTCTGATCCTGACATTCAGCCAGCGTTAACCAAACTCCCTCAAATCCTTGCACTTGTTCATTGTTACCACTTCTAATACCTAGGGGCTTTCACTGCCTGATGTGCCATTCCCACCAACAGGAGGGAGGATGTAAAGATAATACTTAAGCAAGATATTTACATACATATTACAATGATCTTCCTGATATTGTGACTGGCTTTCTATTTTTCCATGTCACACAAGGAAGCAGCGTGTGCCTTCGTGTAAAAGGCTTTGAATGAACATTAGAGAACTAAAAACTAATGACATCATCACCTGGGCTGTCCTAAATTGCACTTGGGCAGCTTATAAAAAACATATGTAGGCCATACCAAACTCTCTCTACGTTGCAGCTATTTTTTTTACTAGAAGGCACACAGTGCTCTGCTTTGTGGTCGTAAACAGCTCTGAGGGAGAGCAGAGAGCCACTCTGCGCTTACCAGGCTGCGCTGCAACATTAAACCCAGAGAGAGCTGATCAATGCAGCAAAAGTTACATTGAACCATTCCCCTATCTGGTGCGTTTTGGAGGACGAACCAGAACTCGGTGCAGTCACACTTGTGTTCAAATCTGCAACGTCGCAGCAGCACCTTGACCGCCGCACGGAGACCTGCAGATTCATAAAACTTGGAAGCCCCGCCCACACATGCACGGCCAGCGTCTGTTTACGAAAAGTCACGGGAGCAGCATGGAGCGAGCGGAGAAATGTCACAGCGCGCTGCCAACAGGGGGAACAGTCAGACATATGTGAGCGGACAGTCAGCTGTGTTCCTCAGCATGAAGTCTGCCTCCCTCATATGTTAGCATCCGCTGACATTCCCAGCATTTACACGCGCGGAGCTTCGTGGCGACTTGGACACGCGTCTGCTGGGAGCATTTCTGGTTTTCTTCTTTTTAAACTAATAGACTTAGAGAGAGAGAGACAGAGAGAGAGAGAGAGAGAGAGAAAAAAAAGCAATGACGAGGCGTAAAAGGCTCGACCTACCGAATTGTTCCGCCTAAACCCAGCCAGGACCAAACAGCTGTCTCTTTCTCCCCCCCTCAACCCCCCCTCACGGCTTCTTCTGGGGGGAAATCTCGGCGAAAAGAAATAGACAGGAGTCAGGGGGGCGACATGGATTGTCCGACCGAGAACCCTACCAGGGCTGCGGAATATCTGAAGGAGCTTAACAAGATCATCGAGACCCAACAGGGGCTGCTGGAAAGGCAGAGAGGGAGGATAGAGGAGCTGGAGCAGCAAGTGTCCGACTTGTGCGCGGAAAACGCCTGCCTGAAGGAGCAGTACCAGCGGCACCTGGCAACCTGCAGGCTGCTGCAGGGCACCAGCAGCCTGGTCACACTGGGAGCCATCAAGGAGCATGTCACTCACGACAAGTAAGAGATGACATCTAATCAACCCTTAATAAATAAATAAATAAATAAATATCAAAGTTAAATAGCCCCCGCTTAACAGCATACTCATTAAAGTTGGGAAATGTCCCCAATGACAGACTGCCACGCTCTGATCAGCAGTTCATTCTGGGTTTGGCGGTGTCTGCTGCTTAAAAATGGGTCGCTCAATTACACAGAAAAGCAGAAAATTGCTGTAGTTGGGTTGTAAAGAGCCATGGAAATGCGTGTGAGAAAATCCTGGCCATAGCAACCACAAGCCATCCATCTCTGTGTTAGGATGGGCATATAGTAGCAACCGCACGTTTTAAAACACAGAGCTGCATTTTGTCTGACCGACATATCACAGCAGATAAGCAAATTAAGATGGCATGTCAGTTATGCGACTGTGGTCGGTAATGTTTGTTTCTTTTTTTCCCCCCCTGATCATCTATTCAAATATTTCCCCCTTCGTCACAATCATATTCAATAATTTCTGCTGCTAAAGTTGCCATACTTTTCAGTGAAACTCACTTTGCTGCGACCGAAACATATTTGTTTCGCTGTTTAGTGATAAATCATCCACAAAAAAATAATAATTAAAAAAGCTTCCAGGTAAACACGCCTTTTAACATAAGGTGTCCCTTTTTTGTGTTAATTTGTATTTTTGTATTCAAATTCCTCTTTCTAAAGCATCTACTTAAATTATATTTGGCTGCTGCAAAAATGTTTAAGCAATATTTGAGAACACCTGCATTGAAGGGAAATTTGGCATAGATGAAGCACATAGAGGAGGTTTGAGGATGACCAGAGCAGTCTGGAATGGTCAAATTTAATTACCCAAGATCCTCTGGGACCATTCAAGCCACGTTATAGACAGGAGTTTAACAATCCGTCCAGCTCATGATATTAGTTTCATTACAGCAATATTTCATGGAAGCTAGTATTTACTGATGTCATCCTACTGACAAAATTTCATTTTTATTTTCACAAACTAAAAAATTGATCTTAAACTGCTTTTTAAATAGATAATTATCCAGTTTAGGTTTGATCACTGCATTTTAGATTTTGAATTAGATATGCTCAAATGCATTCCTAAAATACTTTATCAGCATGGCACTGACGATAAGCTAACTTTATCACCTTTGGGGTTATCAGAGTCAAACTCTGGCCCAAATACACCAAGCTGAACCTCTGGCAGCCCAATTGCTTCAAAGTTTATGTCAAAACTAATAAAAAGCTGCCATATGTTCACCAATATCAGCAGATCAATGTATTTCGTGTGCCTCTTGTGATGTCATCAAGTCAAATGCACACAAAGCCGATTACGCTGTTTTTCATTGAAGGCTTTTTGAATACCATGCAAAAAACATCAGTGGCAGTCTATTTCACTACTTAACTGCTTTTTTTTTTATATTCAATGCACATTTGTTTTTGTTTTTTAAAGTGCACTGGATATTGTCTTTAAATGTTCTGGATAAACACATTAGTATCTGTGAAATTATGTAACAAAAAAGAGGGACACTAATTGATTATGCAGCCATGCTTCAGGCAAGGCAGTGGGTTGAGCTTCAGGAAGAGGAGAGCAGATACAGTAACCCCATCGGCCATCTGGCTGTAGTTTCTACAAAAGACCTTTATAGTTGGGCACCGTCAGGATTACCCTCCCCATGTTAAAGTTCACTGTCGGATAGCTGGATTCCCAAAATGCCTCGGCATGCAGACATTTGACTGAGCTCCTGACAGCCTGCAGGATCATGTGATTGTGCCTGACCTTTGTCTCCGGGGACATGTCCATGTCATGGGGATCAGTGGCAGCAAATCAATACTTTTGACTCAGGGGCTGTGTGTCTTTGCTGGTTGATAAAACCCGACTCATGAGATTAGGCCGCTGACCTTTAGCATACTTCCATCTGTAAATCTTGCTCCGGCGTCATGAAGGAGCGTTCTGTGGGGCTTCTCCATAAAATCAGCCTTTTGTCATCTCTGATCCTCTAAGGCCTCAGTGGCTGTTGAGTGTTGAATTTTACTTAGAAATCTGTTTACCTCAGCAACTCCTGATGGATATGTAGCTGCTGTTTGGTTTATGGAGAATGAATTATTCAAAATGTTAGTTATGGAAAGCCATTTAAAAAGATACAGAGGCCTTCAGCAAAGCTTACACCAGAGATATGCAACTTTACAATTTCTAATATGTACTCACTGTGCCTTGCAAAAGTACGCGTAGCTCTTAAACATTTCACATTTCCTCACAGTAAATGTGAAATTTACACATATATTGTGTACATTTAAATTGAGTTTTTTTTTTTTAAAAAAAGATAATTATCCAGTTTAAATTTGATTACTCTGTGTATAATAATTTTTTTTTCTACCATAAACATATTATATATTATTGGAGTTCAATGTGATAAACCAACACAAAGTAGTAGATAACTGTGAAGAAAAAGAAGGGAGTTGCTTCTCATATTATTTTACAAACAACAATTTGAAAGGTGCACCGTGTGTATTGGTTTTCAGTCCAATATTTCCATACTCTGTAGAAACTTCTTAAACTGCAAACACAGCTGCGATACTTGGGAGTACGTTTCCAGCAGGTTTGTACATCTGAACACTGGAGAGCACATGTAAGCATCTCAGGCATTTCTGTTAGCATGCAGGATTCCCAAAATGCCTCGGTAGTAAAAGAGATGTGGAGAGATGTGTGAAGGTACAATTTATTGACACAGGTTTTCAGATGGATTTAGATCTTGACTTCTAAAACATAAGCAGCCTTTGACCTAAACCTTTTTGTTGCTCGGATCAAATGTTTAGTATTGCTTTCCTGCTGGGAGGTGAATGTTGAGGTCTAAAGTCTATTGGAATTCTGTAAAAGGTTTTCTCCTGGGTTGGTTTTCAGTTAGGTTTATCCATCTTCCAATCAACTCTAATCAGCCGTACTGAAGAAAGAAATCCCTACAGCATGAATCTGACATCATCCTATTGTGTTTTCAAGATGTGTTCAGTCTATGTTTTCTGCCACATATATACATGCAGGCCAAAAGGCTTAATTTCAGTTGGACCTGACCAGGTCACATTTTCTCGTAAGTTTACTGCGTCCCATTAACGGTTTGTGAAAACTGTAAACTGGACCTCACGCAGTTTTCTTGAAATAACTTTTTTCTTGACTCGCTTTCATTTTGGTTTTGGGAAGTGCATGATTGATACTTTCCATGTCGATAGAAATCTCCCACCTGAGTGGTGGATCTCTGTAGCTCCTCCAAAGTTCCCATGACCCATTAGGGTTTTTTCTGACAAATTCTGTGTTTGCTCTGCCTGTCTGTTTTGTTGTTGGTAGCTTTACATTTGTGCCAGACTCTTTCTCTTTGAATCATGAATTGAATAGTGCTCCAATTAGAGGTTTGAAGTTTGGGGTCATGTTTATAACATAATCCAGTTTGAAACTCCACACTTTCTAGGTTTTTTATTAGTGTCAAAAAGTTATTACCATGCCTACTTTTTCGACCCTACTTTTTTGTATTAGTGTGTGTGTGTGTGTATATATATACATATATATATATATATATATATATATATATATATATATATATGAAATACGGTGTATACTGTGAACTTACTGTAGTCACTTCTTTCAAATGAAACTGTTTAGTCACTAGTGAATAGCAATGGAAGCAAAGATATCTTTTCCTTAGTTCTTTGTTTACCTTCAGGGTTTTCCAGGAAGGTCCATGCTGAAAGTGTTCTCTGTATCTGACTTTCTCTACATACTTTCAAAGTGAGTATGGAGCAGCATCAGAAGCGCCAAAAGGCATACAACTATTCAAGTTCTGTGTTTTATCAAAAAAACATTGAAAACACCCCAAAATCTTAGCTTTATACATCTCTCTACATCTCTTTTACTGCCAGGAGCTTTTGTTTAAAGGCAGTACAAGTTGACCGAGTTAAAAAAAAAAAAAAAAAAAAAATTGCATATATGACATTTATCATTAGTGTGAGTTATTTTGGTGTTAAGAATGTTATTCTTTCTGAGGCGGTGAATGCTGCCTCTTTTGCTTTGAGCCAAAATGGATTTGAGTGTGTGAATGTTCACACATATTTTGGCCACATTACCAACTGAATAAACACTCCAGAGCAAATGAAGGATCATGTGTCTGAAAATCAACACTATCTTCAAACAGCAGATGTTTGAAGGGACACACTTCAGACCATGGCGTTGCCTTTATTTCCTCTAAAATGAATACTATGCAGGTTGGTGAAGACAAAGCATATCTGGCTTCTCATGACATTACACACTGAAGTGTCTTTTCAACAGTATGCCAAGAATGTAGACAAAGCTGTTTGTGGTGTAAAGAGTTTCGTTTTTCTTGTTCACTGTATGGTAGCTGTCATTGCTGTGCCTTACAGGAACTGGATGAGAGAAGCGAGTAGGTTTTCCTCCAGTTAAATAAATATCCTTTTCCTGGGTCATTTGTCTGTATGAACAAAAAGTCTTCTCTTGAAGAAAAATATGCTTCTTTTACTATAATTTTTTTTTCTGTCTTGTGTCAAATAAAAAGGAAAAGATATTATTGTACGTTGACCTCTTAAGAGCTTTCGAATATTTGAATATATTTGAATATTTGAACAAATTTGCAGAATTTCTCAAGTACTCAACCTAAATCTCAGTCAATTTGGTTTAATCTGTACAAACAGTGAAGTGCTGGAACTGT